ATATGGTGCCACGTAGTGCATTTTGTAACGGAATCGTGACGGCACGTTAAAATGTTGGGTTTTTCACGAGTTTTGAAAAGTTGAGGGTGTGAATAGGGAGGAAAAATTTTGGAAGGTGTTGACCGTGAAAAACAATTAAGTGGAGGGTGCAAATAGACCCTTTGGCCTAGATTATATACAATAGAAAATGACTTTTCCTTTCCCTTATCCTTTCTCACTTGTTTCAAAATTCAAATTCTAAATTTCTAATTTAAAATCTTAAATTCTTAAATAAAACCAAATAGTCTTAGAAACTTTTAAGAAAAATTTGTTTAAATTGTTAATTTTAAATTGCCAACGACCTACATATACACAAATTAAATTGTTCTGTACCAATTCTCGAAATCAGCTTACCACAATTCTAAGATTTCTTATGCACAAATTAGTCATCTATGTCAGGATTATGGAAACATTAGGAAACTATCACAACAATCAGTTTCGATGTTTTTTACAACAAAAGACAAAGCAACACATGTAAGTTGCAGCAACACAAGTCGGGTCGTCAATCTACACATAGCATTTAACAACATTAATACGCGAGAAAGAGAAAATTGTGAAGAAAGCAATTTACCTAGAACTCAGTCCAGATGATGAGAAGTTGTGATCTCTCAATTAGAATTTAAAACAGGATGCCTGTGTCTGCTACTATTCGGTGAACAGCCTGGCTCTTGCATGGCTTGGAGATATCTGGCACTGCTCAGTGAGGCCAAAGTGAGCCATAAGAAGCCACACATGGGTTAGAAGTTCTCCACCTCTTCTCAGCTGCTGACCATGCTGACTATCCCTAGAGTGAAAAGCGGCATAAGCTAGCAGCTCCAACCACATATCTTTTATTAGATTCCATTTGAACGCTTGATCTGGACCTGATATAGTACCCAGCGTCCGTGCTAGCCTGCAAGCATCAAACAACACAGATTTGCTTCTATCGCCTTTGACTTTGCCGTGGGGAACGTCTGTTTTCACGTCAAGCAATAATGACTTGCAAGCCGTTTTTCTTCTTTCTTCAACATCTACAACACTGGAACTGGAACCAGTAGGCAGGAACGGAGCCAGGAAATTAGGTTGAGGGTGCAAACTTTAAAGTCACAAAATAACAATTCACCGATAGAGTAGCCAAAAATTTAAGCCAAGGGAAGCAAATTAACTTTTAATGTTATAAATATTATATAAGATCAGTGTTTATCAAGTGAGATTCAAAAAAATTAAGAAACAAATGTTGAAAATTATATCATTTTAATAAAATATTACAAAAAATTAAAATAATCACACTCTTGTTTGAAAAAATAAGTTATTTTAGTTTTATCAATGAGAATTTATTAAAATGACATAAGTTTCAAGAGTTTTTTTTCTCTTAATTTTGTAGAGATCTAACTCATAAACATTTTCTCTATAGCATATTGCGTTTCACAAATACTTATTTACACAATAAATTAAAATAACAATGGATATGTTTTCAAGTTACAAAATTTGTTATGTAATGGAGTGTGTGCATTAAATGTCTCAACAGCCTTTTTTTCTTTCAATATAAACAATTAAAAAAGTTTGAAAGAATTTTTTCACATCCTGTAATTTCCAAAAGGAAGAGGTTTTATAAGAGAGCCAAAGACAACAAAGAAGTTTTTTAAAAATTTTGCACATATTTTTCAGTCATCTAACTTTAATTCTCAACAATCAAAAAAAAAAGAAGGGTGGAGGAATCTAGCGAAGGAAAAAACACAAATATGAAGTGAAAAGAATTCACCTAAAAACAGAAGGAAAATGCTAAAAATGCATCGATTTCCATAACCTTACGAAATTCTTAAAATGCATAATATCTACTCAAAACAAAGATTTAGTTTCCAATACGAATAATGAAGATAATGTTTGGGTTACCCTCGGAGGGTTTGAAGTCTTTGCTAAGAATCATGAAAGAAAAAGAAAAAGTATTTTATAATTTTTATTTAAAGTTTTGTGGGTTACCGTAATTGCCATGAAATACTTCTGTTTCTACTGTACTTCTAAACTTAACAGAAGGACTAATAGGATTATTGCTAGAAACCTTGGGGACAAAAGGCAGAGCAAAATGAAGGTTAGGATTTAAAATCTCTCATGCTAGAAAGATTGAGGACTTACAGAAGGAATTTACCATTTTTTTCTTAGAAGTTTGAGGAGGGTAGCTGCCCAATCTTGTCTTGCAATGCCATCATCTGAGGTGGTAGGCCGTTGCCCCTTGAAAAATTCCATGGCCTCAGCACGAGTGTGCCGTATCCTCATAATCTCAATCCTGTCAGACAACAAGGACGGACGAATGACTAGGAGATAACACATGTATCTTGACATGTGCAGACTGAAATCTCTAGTTGATTTGACGTAACCAGAAAGGTCTTCTGAAGTGTAGTAGCAGATTTCTGTAGCCATGTGCCAGATGAGGATGCTTTGGTCAAATTCAACACTTACACTCCATTCAAGGACACTCCATTCAAGAACAACCTCACGTTTCATTTTCTGATATTTCTCAATTATGTCTTTACCCCTTTGGCTGCACATCTCCCTAATAGCTGCATCAAGTGTGCTCGTGCTTCTCGCCTCTTGTTTTATCCTTTTTTCCAACTCATTAAACTTGTCAAACTTTTCTTTGACATGGTCAAAGATCAGCTTTCTGTATTCCTCAGTGAACTTTTCGTAGTTTTTATAACGAAATTCTTCAATTATACTAATGCTATATTTTTCCTGAAGGCTAAGCTGTAATAGACTGTATTGTGCCATGGACTTTGACCACCTCTTCACCTTAAGCCACTTGAACCATTTTTCAAAACAACCGTTTGATGATTGTGCAGTGCAAGTCTTCTTCCAACGCTTAATCAACCAAATTCTGGTTTCATCCGAGACAAGGACAACAAGAGCTGCATATATTTCTAGCCAAACAGCTACAACAAGCAAAAGTAAAGTGACCACAAAATCAGTCCTGTTACGCCTGAACTTATCATCAAGGATAAAAAACGTAAACACTAGGCAGGTGAGGAAGAAAGTGATGAAGCGTCGAACAAAACCCCAGGGAGAATAAATAACCGGTGCCTTTGTGTACAACAGATCATACATGAATCCTAGTTCAATCTCAATCACATGGAAAGCGCTTTTAGGAGACATACACTCGAACAAACCTTGGCTTCTGTCCCGGTCATGATAGCTAATTATTAGATCTGCAAACAAACTCTTGAATGTCTGAAATAAGGCATCAGCTTTGACTAAATCATGTTCATTTTCAGGCACTGCTACATCCAAGTTAGCCTTACTTTCCTTCATCTCTATTATTTCCACGAAATATCCCTCCGCCGCTTTTATGGCATATTTTTCCATAAGTTTAGTATATCTTAGGTCGGAATCTGGAGCAGGGAGGATACTATCTCGGATTTTGTTCTTGCTTGCTTTCCATAGGGCCAATGTTCTCTCCCCATACTTGATGGAGCCCACCAGTATCATTACAATGGATAGGTAAGAAAGATTCGAACTTGTCCAGGCAAGTAACAAGATGTAAAGTGTAGCAGTTGTCTGGACTATTAGCCCAAAGAGGTGCCTGAGATACAACTCATTATCTTCTAAGGAATAGGCTGTAATTGTTTCCGGACCACCTAAATGCAGCAGGAAAAAGGGAGCCCAGAATGCTTTGAGCTCATTAGCCCCATTAATATGACCTCCATCATCATATATCTGCCCCAGATCATTTGATAGGATGCCAAGGGCAATTGTTGCTACGGAGTCAGCCAACATGTAGGCAAACCAAGCAACAAATCTAACCCAAGTTGCTCTGCAATACTTCCTGCAATTGCCGGATAAAATGAGAACTATTTGAAGTGTAAGGCTGAACAGAGCTGCCCCAATGAGCTCCCATTCCTTCCAGAGTTTCCTTAAGTGAGTAGGAAAAACCTCCATCATCCTTCGCCTTCTCATCAAAATCAGGCCAGAAACAACTGAAAAGGCATAGCAAAAATTAGACTTGGTTATAAAATTCTTCAAAAGACGAAGAGTTTTAGATGGGCCAAGGAAAAAGAGAGACCAATGGAAACTAAAAGTTAGCTTGAATCAACTAATTCATCAAAAGATGTACTTACTTGTAGGGATCATCAGGAATGTCTGTCCTTGATAATGCCAGATGCAACTGATGGAACAGCTACAAATGATGGGAAATGTTGGGTACTCTTCTACCTTGTTAAGCCTGTTTAACAAACGAATGCCCAAACAGTGGTTCATATCCCAAATATCAGACACTAAGAACTATCATTGTTTTGTTGGCTACTTCAAAACTGAAAATCTGAAATACACCACAGTCAAAAAGCTGCCAATCAAAGGTAGGGTAGAGGCAGTATATATATATATATATATATTTGGCTGAAAATATCCTCTGTTTTCTCATATTGGAAGTCACAAATAAATGGATAGTTAACTTTACCTTCTTGGAAATAATGTATGATTCGAATTTGTTTGATCTCTGTGAATGAAAATGATATAATATTTCCCAAAAGTAATGGTCAGTGCAATTTTTTCACAGACCGTAGGAAAATGTGTCATTGCACAATGCATACTTCCTCAGCTGCTGTTCATTCATTCAAACTGTGAAATGCATAATATAATAGTTGGGACTGCTATAATGATGGCAATCGTGTTGAATTAAAATCACAATCCATGAGTTAAAAAGGATCAGTCATTCACAATTTCCACCTCTCAGAAACTATAAAAGTATATCAAGAAGAACATCTCAATATTTATTAGTCCTCTACTCTCGAAACATAAATTATGAATCTTATAAAATTATGATTCACTTGAACATAATTTTTATATATATCTTTTATACAAAATTTAGATAATTTATTTTTTAAAAATGAATACTCGAGATTTATTTATTTTTATTTAATTTTTAAAATATAATTTTTTATTTAAAATGTTGTGATAAATTTTAACCATTTATAATGAAGAGACAATTAACATTTCATATAAGTAATACGTATGAACATTTTTTTTCATTTAAAAAATCATAACAAATTTCAATTATTTATAATGAAGAGATAATTAACATTTAATATAAGTGACGTATAAAAATTATATAAGTGGGTACTAATTTAATTTTAGATGCTTCACTATTTATTAACTATGATTGGAAAATGATTTAGGGACAACTTTATTGTATACCTTTTTATATAATATTACATGTCATTTAAATAATTAATTTTTTTTATTCATTTAAAACTTGTGATATTATATATATCCATTCATTTAATAACATATAAAAATTTTATAAAAAAAAACAATATAAAAATATTATCTCTATATCACCATTCACCATAATTGGACCATGTAACATGTCAAAGTCTACTAAACTTAGAGTTCTACAAATTTCGAATTGGCATAATTTCCAAATCCACCTCTCAAATAAGAGGTAGGAACAAATCCTCCCAAGGACAAATTGTTTCACCAAATTATTGATCAAAACAACACCAATTATTTAACATATGATGTTATCGTATGTCAGAATTTCATTTGTCTCATAAATATTTTTCAATGAAAAGTTAACATGTGATCATGTTAAGATGATTTATTTTGATCGATAATTTGAAAAAATAATTTGTCTTTGTATTTTTTAAAAAATAAATCTATCCATATGCTCTTATTTAAGGGACAAATTTAGGGATTTTGCCTTTCAAATTTTTGTTCTGACGAAAATTCAGCATTTTCATCTGAAAAATGAATTTTCGTCCCGTAACAAATGGCTCTAAGCACTTCGAAATATATATCCTCACCATCCAAGCTTCACCATGCATTCTCAACAATAAAGTCAATACATAATTTTTCCAATACCTTAATTAAGCAAAACTCAAAATTCACAAATATATCAAGTCGCTAAAACCATGTCCTACCAAAAAAAAAGAAAAAAAGAAGTCACAATCATAAATACCACATCCACAATAGCATACCACAAGCAACTTGACATCCATAAATTCCTTATCCACCATGAAATACAATAATCATACTTGAAAATGTACAATTTTTTCCTAATGTAGTAATGGTGGGATTCGGTCTGGAGCTAAATTTTGAATCACTTCGAAAGCACTTATTTAAGATTACGTACACATGCTAAATTTGGTTTTTGTGATAAGTAATGCTGGACGCCTATCATGTACTATCATGATGGAGTATTTCTAAAATGATGCTTCGCATTTTGAATATCCTTGAATTTTAATTCTAAATGCTAAATATTGATCTTTAAAATTTTGAGACCAAAAGAAATCTTGAAGTCTAAAATCATAAAGCCTAAATTTTGAAGTCTAACTTGAGCCCTAAAACAAAAACGGTTAATAGATTATTTGGTTTGAATTTGAAACAAGGAAAGTATATGGGAGGAGAGAGAAATTTATTACAACAAAATCAAATTATTTTAAATTAATTTTATTGCGCGAAATAAGGTTACTTTTACACCCCTCACCCTCCCCTACCTTTTCTTTCTACTTCGCTCAAACTGAATTTAAATTAGAATATCAAATCCAAAGTAACAATTTGTTAATTTGAGTAAAAAGAGTTTGACTTTTTTTAAATAAGATTTCGAATTTAAATTTTATAAAAAAAGAGATAAGTTCCGAGAGAGCCTTCCATCTATCGTGATTTAACTCTAAATTAATTAAGATACAATATAACTTTTGAATATTAAAAATTTAATTGAAAAAAAAGAAAAAGAAAAAGGATATTGAATGCACTAAATTAAATAATTAATTTGAAAGATACCCAATAAATATTTCTTTAAGGCCCAAATTTTAAAATAAGAAAAATTTTAGGGGCACAAGTTAAATGATCCAGCCCATTCTGTTCTTTAAAGGATTTCTCCAACTCCTCCTCCTGATCCGCTACACTTCCCCTTATTTCTCCACCACTCTTCAACAGGCAACGCACACTTTCTCATCTGCTATTTCCCCATGCCTTCCTTCTGTTTTGGCAACACTTGCTCCTCTATTTCTCAAAGATTTCCTTCTATTTCGGCTTCCATTCCTCCTATGGTGGTTCGACCGCCCACGCCCATCATCAACGTGGATGGTTTCTTGGACCCTTTCTAGCAGACATTATATACAAAATTCTGAAGAAGACCCAAAGCTGCGATTCAATCCTTCCCTTTGGTAAGACTAAAATCAATTTTAATCTATTTTTCCCCATCTTGAATCGATTTGCACATGTAAATTTTTGTTAGTAGGATTCTGCAGTAATACCCTAAGAAATATCCCCTATTTCTTTCAAGGATTGGGGTTTATTTTGCTTTTGTTTGAGTCTACAAATTTCTCAAAGGGCTGTTTAGTATGGTAGTGGATAATATGTAACAAAGGGCTGTTTAGTATGGTAGTGGATAATATGTAAGGGGTGGTGGTTAGTGGATAGTGGATAGTGGATAGTAGATAGCGGATAACATATAATAAGTAATGGATAGTAGACAATGAATTTCAGTTCATATATAAATTCTATGGTTATATAATAGTTAATATTTGTTGTTTAACAGTAAATGATTAATAAGGACATATTTAAAAGTAATTAATTGTATTTTTTATATGTTTTTATTATTAAAATTATTAATTTTATAAAACTAATAATAAGAAAATAAATAAAATAAATTATAATAGTGTATTCACACACTCTTTTTAATTTTTAACAAAGGAAAAAATCATATTATTTTTAAATAAAGAAAAAAATTCTAATCATTTCATTTCGTCTAATTAATAATTTTGTTGATTAAGCTAATATAATTTTTTTATGATAAATTAATGTATAAAATGAAAATATAATATTAAGTTATTAAAGAGAAAAAAGGAATTTAAGATTAATTAGATAAGTACTAATTAAAAACCTTGGCCAAAAGATAAAAAATTAAAATGGATAAATTTGTTAATAAAATTTAAAAATCATAATCCGTTAACAGTTTGGTTTATCTGCTAGCAATTTTGAGCCTAACTATTATCCGTTAGTTTCAAACTGTTAAAGAAAAATTTTTAACAAACACCTAATTGGTAGTGGTTTTAAAATAAATAAGTGTACTACTCTTTTGTTTATTTTTAATAGACTTAGTTTGAATTTCTAACTTTTAAGATATGAACTTTAGATAAAAATTTAATAATTCATATGAACAACAATTGAAATTTTTTTTGATCAAATAGAAGTACTTAACAAGAACTATATATAGGGACAAAAAATTTTCAATTATTGTTCATATAGATCGTTAAATGTTCATCTAAAATTCAGGCCTAAAAGTTGAAAAATCAAATTAGGTCTACTAAAAATGATCATATGGAGTAAATGCTATCATTAGCAGTTTGGACAAAACCATTAACTGCTACTCTCAAACCGCTATAGCAAATGAGTCCTAAATCTTCTAATGCATTTTCTCTCTTAGCAAGAAAGCAAGATTTGACAATAACAATAATTACCCATATCCATAGTTTTCAACCAGCAAGTGATTTCTTGCTTTATGATGTGAGATTTTGGATTCACAAAGAAATTTGTTGGTTGTGTGAATGATTATATGAAGAAAAATAAATGAATTGGGAATTCATTTTGTTAATAGGAGTATGTAGGTAATCTAGTTTTTGACAAAAAGATGATAGTTATATGCCATTTTTCTCTTAAATACTTCTATTGTTTGCTTTTTGAGCTCAACAAATCTATTCGAATTTTGGAAATGCCTTGGTCATGTCGGCCTCTCCAGGCTGTTGTTAAATCAGCTTTAAGTGTCCTCTATTTTTCCATTCCATCTTACATTGTTAAATTCCACTGCTTGTCTATTCTCTCTCTCTCTCTCTCTCTTTTTCTTTTGTGTTGGCTTTCAGTTTAGGCTTTTATGTGGAAATGTTTATTCTTTTTGCAGTGTTTTGTGATTTCTTCTTAACGTCTGAGCTTGCATTTTGTTACATTAGATTTCATCTGGTATGTTTCTTACAGAGGATTTCTCCAACTAGTTAATGAAGAAGCCATACTAGGGTATCTGTTTAAATAAAATCTTTTTGGTGACTTCTAACATATATTTCATATCTTACATATGTTTGATTAATTTCATCAAAAGAAACTAATTAATTTATTTTAATGAATTTTTTTGTGCAGGTAGTTACATGTTTTTCATAAAGCTGGGAGATGATATCATAAGATTATTAACAGGTATTAAATTTCAATTATTTAGGTAAAGATTTTAATTTCTCAAATACTTTGCATAATTTAGTTGCTGATAGGAACTGATTTCTATTCTTTTTTTTATTTTTCATAACAATTTAGCTCTTCCCTATTTTCCTTCCTTGGAATATGATACACCAAGCAAAATTGAGAAAATGACAAGTCATTAATGTTGCAATATTCTAATTTGTTTAACTGATTAGTTGCGTGTAAGAAAATTTGCTAAAGTGATAAGATATTTCAGTCAGATATGGAAAGGGGAACTTGATAAGCTATGTTCTTTGTATTATATTTCTCCTTTGATTCTTCTATTTTAGCCCCCCTTTTTTTTTTGTTTTTTTACAGGATTGCTCTTTTGATTTTCCAATTTTCCTTATTTTGAGGTGTGTTTACAATTTATTCTATTTTTATCTTAGATTTAAGAGATCCATCATTATAACAATTTTGAAAAGTTAGATTTTGTTTTTGCTAGTCCCACCTTATTTTTTCAGTACGTATCAATTAGTATTCTTTCTTATTCTTCTGTTCGTATTCATATAAGTCAATTGCTTATTTTATTTAACTATATTTTTTCTTGCTGATTAAAGGCCACTTATTCATGAAACTCTTTCATTTTTGAATTTTTATTAAAAAATTGTTTCATTTTTTTTGGTACTAACCCCTTGGTATTAGGAAACCACATTGGGCCCCAATTAATCTGGAGTCAAGTCACGTCGGACCCCATAAGGGGGAAAGCTCTTCTAGCACCTGTTTCTCCATTGATAAGACTCAAATTTGAGACCTTACTTAGGGGGAACCGAGCTCCAACAGGTTGTAGGTAAAAAAATTTTCATTTGCCTAAGTTAAAATTGAAGTTTCTTGATTATCGAGCAATAGGTTTATATTATCATGGGGCTAATAAAGATAATGTTATGACTTAGGTTATGATCAAAAAGAGGTCTATCTTCTGCTATATTGGCATAAATAAAGTCTGAAAGCAGGACAATAGAGTTATATCTTGGAAGTTAAAACTGGTGAAAGTACTATTGGGTGTCAGTGCCACTGTATATGGTTTGTCTGGCTTGGGAGGAACCAGAGATACCACCTAGGGGAGCAAAAGAACCATTTCTTCTGATTTGGAAATTAATTGATTTTAAATTTAGTCATTAAGCCTTATAATGGTTGATAGCAACTTAGGAACGTTATGTATATAGTAGAGATTTAAACTCTTGGAATACCTATTGAAATTTGTATGAACATTAAAGTCTGGGATTTGGACCATTAGGTTAATAAACCTTGGCAGTTCTAGAGAAAAAAAAAAAAAAAAACAGTTTTATCATATTCTTTTGCTCTTTCACATTGGTTACTTCATGTTGTTACCAAAGTTATGGTTTTGAAATTTTGTAAAGTAGTGTAGTCAGTGAGAAATTCATTATCAAAAACCCAGTTCTTAAAGATGGTGCCACTGGAAGGTAATTCTTGGACCCAACTTCAAATGTTATCCTAACTTTAAGTTAATAGTTGTCACTGATTTAGTTTTGAAGAATAGAGTTTTCTTACTTGATTGAGATTAGATTTGAGCAATCTGTCAACGAAATATAGAAAGTTAGTTTACAGGAAATTAGGTACCTTTGTGTTAAACATTCTCTGCATAAATTTGGTTAAACAATTGCTGGCTTTTTCTAAATTCAAAGAGAATGAAGTTGTATCCTCGGCATCTTTTACTGATGAGTTAGTAGATTGGGGGCATGACTCCAGTGGCTGAGTGGTGGATTGGTAATAGCTCGTATATACCTAATAGTTTTGCTAGAAGATATCCAGTTATCACTCAACTAATTCATTAACAAATTCTACAGAAAAGGAGGATAAGGTTATTTGGCTTTCTGATGTATCAGGAGTGTTTTCAATTACTAGCTGTTACAATTTTTTTTGGATCAAACCTCCACACATGAGCTGGCATGGTATTGTTATTTGGTCCAGTAGCTGTTTTCTACACTATAGCTTCATTATGTTTCAAGGTCTTCCAAGCTTCCTAAGGTGCTCTTTTAGATGTTTAATGTTCTTTTGGTGGAATAGAGGAGGAGAACTGCAAGTATTTGGTTTTTTGGCTGTCAGTTTCCAAAGTGTGTATGAGAAGACATGCTTGCAAGCCTTAACATTTTCAAGGGTCCAAAAGTGTGCCATAGGGATTGGAGTGGGGTGCAGAAGCATTGTAAAGGGAGGTCACTGCTCTTAAAAAGAAGGTAGTCTTGCCCCTATAATTTACTATTTTGTGTTAGGAAAGGAATTCAAGGCTCTTTCTTAATAAAAGCAGTAGTATGCAGTATGCATACAGGAATATTACAAATGTAGCATAGTTGAGATTTTTTTCAAGTGTAATACTATCCTTGCTATGCCCTGGTGTAGATATAAAGATTGAGCTTTATATTGAGCTTTCATGCAATGGAAAATGATTGCCATTTTTCAAAAAAAAAAAAAATTACATGGAAAACGATTGCCATTTTCAAAAAAATAAAAAAGGTAACATCCACGATCTTTATTAAAAATTAGAAGCCAAAACCAACTTTACCAATCTAAATGAATAGTAGTAATAAGTTTTCTTTTCTTTTTTTTTTTTTTTTAAAGAGAGAAATATGAGAAAATAACAAGTTTTGCCTTTCATTTTGTTGCATAACATGGAGCATGTGCAATAAATAATTGTATAACTAAAGGCAAAGAAATATTTTTTTAAGACTAATAAGAAATTAATTATATATATATTTTTATTTACAGTCCCTCCTTTTTGTTTTCCACTGCTTCCATTTCAAAAATTCTATTGATGGAGTCTCTCAATGTCTGACTTAACTACACGCTAGGGTGAAAAGATTTGTTGGCCATTGTGAGATACCTTCTATTACACCTATTTTATCTAGAAAATTTTGTTTTGTTGACTGAATTGTAGTTGGGCAGTTCTCTTAAAGCTTTACCTCAGTGTTTCTTCGAGCATATTTAAACTTAGCTCCATGTGAATTTCAATTTTAGGTGTAAAATTAGTCAAACTTTTTGTTGATGCTTCTGTACAATGTTAAAATGATACTTTTTCATCTGTATATGAGGGAATTGATTGAAACAGTAAATTATTTCTCTGTCCATTAATTTCTTTCTGCCTTTTTGTTATTAAGTAGCACTAAGTATTCATTTGCTAGATTAGGTATTTTGCTCCTTTCAGTCATGCAAGGTTTGGATGTTGGATGAATCCATTGAGTTCCTTAAATCACTTCAGTTGCAAGTTCAGGTATATTCTTCCTTGGATTTTATTTTATAATGTATGTTCATAATGTCTTGGATTTAATTATGACTTTGTAATGTAACCTAGAAAGAAATTTTGGTTAACCTACCAGAAGAAGTTTGTTCTTAAAATTTTACAGAAGTTGTACAAAAGACTCAGTGTGGTTTTTTTCTCTAACATGCATTGAAAATGTGATTAATATGTGTATGATTTTCATAGCATATATTGATCACAAGTTTGTGCTGCGACCTAGAAAAAACTTATTCCATTCTCCGAATTAGTGGTTGTTTTTTTGTTCTCTTTAATAGCAGAGGTCTCTTACACGTATAAGCTTTATAGGATTCATCTCATCTCTTTAGAACTATTGCCCATCAATTTTGATAGACTATATCAAAGGTATAATTCTACATCTAATGTTATAGCCTTTTACTGACTTTTACTGATGATTAATAGTTAAATTGGTAGACATGTTGGCTTTAGAAATCTATACATATAATAAGACTTGATTTGATTTTGTTTTTGAGGATATTTGAAATTCATTCCATGTATTTAGGATCATGATTTGGACCCTTGGATTTCATAGTGTGTGAATTTAGGATCATAATTACCAATTCAGCTTTTGTATAACGTATGTATTTTTGTTGCCTTATTTTTTGTGTTATGCATATTGATATTAGTGTAGGAAAAAGAAAGGAAATCTGAAACATATATCTGAATGTTCTCATTTCTTTGTGATGGCTATCATTGAATGATATAGAAAAGTGTAGCAAATAAGTCCTTATTAACTAGAATATCATTCATGATTGGATCAGTGGAGGTAAAATTCTAGGAATATGATATGAGGTGGAGCCTATTAGTGATTCCTAATTATATTTTCTACAATGGTTGATTTCAATGTAATGTCATATTTAATTTTAAGTAGCACAATATAATGATCTTAAAGTCTTTAATTGAAAAGAGCTTAGGATGTTTATTTCCACAATCTTATTGTTTAGTCCAAGTGAAAACTACTGCAATGTAATCTGCCCCTCTTGAAAGGAGCTTAGTGTTTCTTTTTTAACCCATTGTGCTCCTCTAGGAGTTACTGAAAACCAACTCCAAATCAGCTTTTGTATAATGTATTTTCTTTCCATATTTTCTGCATTATGCATATTGAAGTTGGTCCAAAACGGTGCATATTTACAGGTCTAATTTGACATATCTGACCTAGAAATGGTATCCATCATTTTTAATGAACTAGGACTCCCTGAAAACTGTGGCGAAATAGGCACAGGTCCAAAAAAAGGTTTCTTTGTGCTTAGCTCAGGGGTTCTATTGTTTTTTCCTTACCAGATGGGAAGATTTTATGGAGGAGATTGATCTTTGTTGAGCACGAAGCCTTTTAAAGATGTAATGTCTATGACAATTTTTCTCCCCTCAAATTCTGTACTTATTTTTATTTCTCCTCAATTTGATTAGTTTCTCATATTTATGATATGGTTTGATAAAGAAAGAATAAGGAATTGCCAAGGACACACAAGTTTATGTTGGTGCCTGATCTCCACCTATTCCTGGATGATGATTCTTGATGTTTTCAAATATGGAGTTAGGTGAGCTGATGCCTCTTGTTGCCACCGTTTACTCTTTGGTCCCATGTGTATCCAGAGAAGTTTATCTTATTTTGTCTAAGCAAATTCTTACTTTGATTCTCATTATTATTTTTTGTTAATGTTGTGTGTGTGTATAGATATTCTCATTATGTGGATGTATGCATGTGTGTGTGTGTGTGTGCCCTGTTGAATTTTCAAAATATATTGACTGATGCCTTCAATTGTGTTAAGTAATTCTCCTACATGAAACTTTAATTCCAAGCATGTTCAACTTTTTCTTTAAGAATTGGTTAGATATTACTAACTTCATGTAATAACTTTTAGGGCTTCACTCTTACTATTAGAATGCATGTGATTTGTTCTAAAATTCATTGCAGTGAAAAGCTCTTACTCCTTGAATCCAAAGGCAGCACATGAACCCCTCCTTTTATTTCTTTTTATTTCTGGGGGTGGGGGTGGTAAAATATTATGGAATACTTAGGCCTGATAGATTTATTCCATTTCCATTTTTTTTATACAGCAAAGGAAATTAAAGGTGATACAAATAACATGATTGAGAGGTCAAAAAAGATTTCTTCTAATCATGGGCATTTATCCAGCAAAATGGGTTCAAAATATCTTGAAAAAACTTCTCTCAAAGGTTTCTTCCCTTCTATGTTCCTTCTTATTTCTGATTATATATATCTATCTAATTAGCAATCTATATGATTCAGCACTTTGGAGTCTTAATTAAATAACCAATTCCATAGGTTGCTTTTATGCTGCTTTATGCGTTTTATACTAATTAATATTATGTTTGGTTATTGATAAACTACTTTTAGTTTTTTGGTCTTGCTTCCTCTTAGAATAATATTTTTTTCTTATTTGTGCAATATCTAATAGTCTGGATTTATTTTGTTAGATTTTTAATAACTTTTAAATCAATTCCAATTTAGTGCTTGCACTCCTTAATATGCTGATAGCTAGGTTTCAGTTTGAGATTTTAATTGGAAGAAGCTCCTTAATTATTTAAGAAACTTAACTTTTATACCAGAGAAATTTCTTGCTTTATGACTTGAAAAACTCTCCATTTTAACAATCAAGGTGTTCATACTTACTCAACATTTAGAACAAAGTCATCCCTGGGGTGATTATCTAAGCATTCTATTGTTTCTTTTATTGGTTGGTTAAGAGCAAGCTCTAAATGCATGGATGATTCTTGCATTTTCAAAATTTCTTGGGCTACTTTGTTTTCATTTGCTATTTGGGAGTTTGGTTATATAGGAATGGCGAGTTGTAGGGATTCTGATTTTCAAGATTCTAAACGGTGTCCTCTTATTACTGATAAAGCTGTTGAATTTTGGTCGGTTTTTTCTTGTTCAGTTTAAGGCATCTAATGGGCAACATGTCCTATTTTGTTGGGATAAACCTCTTCCCAATTTTGTTAAACTTAATATTGATGGTGTTGCTTTAGGCATACCTAGACCTGCTGTTGTGGGAGGGACCTTTAGGGATCCTAATGACAATTGGATTATGGGGTATTCCAGGCATATAGGCATTATTAATAGCTTAAGTGTTAAGCATTAGACCATATAGGATGGCCTCTAACTAGCTGTTGCTAGGGTGTTTTCAAAGATTATCATTGAGCGACTCCTTTTCTATGCCATTCAATTACTATTTGCCAATGTTTCTGATTCCCATTCATTAAGTACTTTGATCTTGGATAGCAGAGAACTTGTGAGTCATTTTACCCAAGCTCAGCTGCAACACATTGTTAAAGAGAACAATATATGTGCTAATCAACTTAACCAGATGGGACGTCCCTTTATTTCACTTTTGTTGTGGGTTGCTCTTTTTGTTTTTTTTTTTTTTTTTTTTTTTTTTTTTTTTTTTTGGTGTAACTTACATTTTGTCTGCCGATAAACTCAGGGTGGGATTCGCTTTCTCAAACCCTATAATGTATT